CACATTCTCAGACCCCAAATTCAAAATCTCCCAATTCTCAAATTTCCAATTTCTCAAATCCCCCAATTCTCAAATTTCTAATTTCTCAAATTTCCAATTCCTCAGATAGCCAAAATCTCAGATCCCTAATTTCTCAAATCCCAAATTCTCTAAAAATCAAATTCGAAATCCCCCAATTCTCAAATTCCCAATTTTTCAAATCCCCCAATTCCCAATTCCCCAAACCCTCAAAAACTCCCAATCTCTCAATTCCCACATCCCCAAATCCCAAACACAAGAAACCTACTTCACCCATAATTAATAATTTCCCCAATAAATCATCAATCCAATATTAATTCAGCATCGACGACATAATCGAAGCGTTTCAAATGCTTCGACTACTTTGTCGCGAGTGAACGATAACTACATACAGCAGAGAGTACATATATTACTATCAAGATAATAACGGTGATCAGTTAATCGATCACAGCAGCTCGATCACTATAATTTTCTCTGTCTTTTTTTTCTTCTCTTTCCGAAGATAAACCATACACGGTCGGCAAACGCGCTAGGTGGTCGATTGGCTAATCATAATGATCGGGAGGATGAATAATGACTTTCCAGTTTCAATAGGAAGCCCCTACCAACTATTACGGCTTGATCAATTTCGAGAGGAAATTATGGTCTCTCGTATATTTTGAAATTTCCTCGTTAATGATCGGCTCGTATGATTGCGCGTAAATGCTGCGGTTCGTTTACGCAACCCTAAAGAACTCATTCACTTGTAACCAATAATTCTTACAATCTTATATTTTCATCGATCTTGTCAATTGACCTATTCGATATATTGTAACTTCGTAAAACCTATATGCATTTAAATTATTGATAAAATAGCGAGGTTCCCAAAGTGCTATTTCCTAAAATTTCTAAATCCACAAATTGTTGTATTTCCAAATTCCTACATCCACAAATTTCAAATCCCAATATTTCTGGATTTTCAAAGTTTTCGATCTTCAAATATCTAAATCCCCAAATTTGTAATTTCGCAAATCTCTACATGATCAAATCTGGACATCCCCAAATCCTTACATCCTCGAATCCCTGCATCCCCAAATTCCTACGTCTCCACATCTCTATGTCCCCAAATTCCTTCATCTTCAAATCTCTAAATCCCCAAATCCAAACATCTCCACATCCCTAAATCCCCAAACTCTAACATCCCTAAATTCTTGTGTCTCCAAATCCCTATCTTGCATCCCAAAATCTCTATATCCCCAAATTCCCACATTTCCAAATCCCTTTTCCCCGTAATCATTTACTCATTTTCCTGCTTTACATTTTCTGCATTCTACTAGATTCACTTTCATACTCTTCAGAGTAAGTACTCAATCAACCAATAAACATCGAAGTCATTATAAGTTTCCTCGTTTACCTGAAGTATGAATGTTATTCTCTGAACGATTTATAAGCACAGATAAATTTGCGAGTAAAGTGTTCTTTCGACGTTAACGAACCGAACCTTGACCAGAATCTAATCAAGTCGGCTAATAACAAGCCGGTAAGCGCAACGTCATGCTCGTAAAATCCATAAGCGGTGTATCTTTGCATCGCTCTGCTAATCCTGATCCGTACGAGTTCATTTTCTGATGGGTCGACGCGTCTGGCGTTAACGTTTAATTACAGGGCGGCGTAGGCGTCCAAATTTATCGGTAATAAAGCTCGTCAGACATTGGACCGTTTTATTTGACGTTGCACCTATTTCTTCGCCGTATGATTCTTAATATAACATCTTCCACAACGTCTAATGCAACATCTTAATCTTTTGCACTTCTATGTTCACATCATTTCTAGTGCACATCACATTTCTCTTATATTGTAAATAATTCAGATAAATACGTTGTCTGAATCTATGTACATGTGGCAAGGATATGAGAATAAGGATTTGATCCAATCTGTAAGAAACTACCCGAAATTTTGTGAAGCGAAGTAAATTGAAAGTATAATGGCACAGTTAATGACTTTCTATTCTTGCAAGGCGTGAAACGTACTATTCACTGCCAACTTTCACAATCCTTCACAAATTCAGACACCATCAATCATGAAAGATTCAATTAAACGGAGGAACGTACGGTCACTTAACACGTGATTTCATCAATTATGATCGGCGACGGGTGTTAGTCGATTAAGTTTAATTGAATCGGAGGAATTTAGGTATTTAGAAATTTAGGGACTTGAGAATTTAGGAATGTAAGAGCTTATAAATTTGGAGATTGAAACATTTGGGAATTTACTTTGGATATTTAGGAATTTGGGAATTTTAGGACCTAGAGAAATGAGTGTGCGGATAATTATGAATTAGATATTTAGAAATTTGAGAATTTGGGAATGTGGGGATTTGGGGAATTTAAGATTTGGGGAATATGGAATTTGGGGAATTTGCGATTTGGGGAATTTGGGATTTGGGGAATTTCAGATTTGGGGAATTTGGGATTTGGGGAATTTCAGATTTGGGGAATTTGGGATTTGGGGAATTTCAGATTTGGGGAATTTGGGATTTGGGGAATTTGGGATTTGCTTGGGGAATTTGGGATTTGGGGAATTTGGGATTTGGGGAATTTGGGATTTGGGGAATTTGGGATTTGGGGAATTTGGGATTTGGGGAATTTGGGATTTGGGGAATTTGGGATTTGGGGAATTTGGGATTTGGGGAATTTGGGATTTGGGGAATTTGGGATTTGGGGAATTTGGGATTTGGGGAATTTGGGATTTGGGGAATTTGGGATTTGGGGAATTTGGGATTTGGGGAATTTGGGATTTGGGGAATTTGGGATTTGGGGAATTTGGGATTTGGGGAATTTGGGATTTGGGGAATTTGTGATTTGGGGAATTGGGGATTTGGGGAATTTGGGATTTGGGGAATTTGAGATTTGGGGGATTTGGGGAATTGGGGATTTGGGGAATTTGGAATTTGGGGAATTTGGGATTTGGGGAATTTGAAAATCCAGGGAATTTGGGAATCTAAACATTTCCGAATCTAGGGAATTTGGGAAGCTGGGGATTTGGAAATCTAGGGATTTGGAAATCTAAGGATTTCGGAATCTAGAGAATTTGAGAATCTAGGGATTTGGAAATCTAGGGACGTGGGAATCTAGGAATTTCAGAATCTTGGGAATTTGGGAATAAAATCCCCAAAAGTAATGCTGTCTCTCACAAATTTGAAAATTCAAAGAAAAACATGACCCTGTTCATGTTCCCATTTCTATAACTCAGCAATGATTTTCAAATTGCTCACGTTCTCCACAAGAAACACCGTCCATGTTTCGGTACTCCTTCGCAGCTCGTTGAAAACTATCGGCACATGTTTGAACGAGAAGAAAGGCAATCGAAAAATGGTTCGTGTCCTCGAAATAAAGGAAAGTCCCTTCTGGAGAACTACAATTTAATTGTAGCCGCGTTTCCGCCCGAAAACGGATACCCACTTTCTGACATTACCGTACAAGCCGGAACTTTTATAACAAGCCCACACCGCGGCTCGTCCGCTTTTCCACCGCACGTACACCTCGTTCCAGGAAATTTCGAGCCTCTCTTTCTACAACCAACGACCTGGACCAACCGGGTGATCCATATTTCATGAAAGCCCGCGATGTCGCTCGTTGCGTAATGTATTCTTGTAGAAACAATCGCGATTGGCTCGAATTTATTACGACAGACATTTTATGTACATGTAGATGGAGTAAGGAAAGTATTTCTTGTTGGGGATTTATTCGGTTACGCATTTTGACATTTTGGAATGTTCTTGTTTTTGAATTTGAGGGAGCGTGAAGTTTCAAATAATGGAATTCTCACATTTTTGTTTGAAAGTAATTTGAGGGAATTTGAGGGTTTGAGAGTTTGAGAGTTTGAGAGTTTGAGAGTTTGAGAGTTTGAGAGTTTGAGAGTTTGAGAGTTTGAGAGTTTGAGAGTTTGAGAGTTTGAGAGTTTGAGAGTTTGAGAGTTTGAGAGTTTGAGAGTTTGAGAGTTTGAGAGTTTGAGAGTTTGAGAGTTTGAGAGTTTGAGAGTTTGAGAGTTTGAGAGTTTGAGAGTTTGAGAGTTTGAGAGTTTGAGAGTTTGAGAGTTTGAGAGTTTGAGAGTTTGAGAGTTTGAGAGTTTGAGAGTTTGAGAGTTTGAGAGTTTGAGAGTTTGAGAGTTTGAGAGTTTGAGAGTTTGAGAGTTTGAGAGTTTGAGAGTTTGAGAGTTTGAGAGTTTGAGAGTTTGAGAGTTTGAGAGTTTGAGTGAGAGTTTTGGAGTTTGAGAGTTTGAGAGTTTGAGAGTTTGAGAGTTTGAGAGTTTGAGAGTTTGAGAGTTTGAGAGTTTGAGAGTTTGAGAGTTTGAGAGTTTGAGAGTTTGAGAGTTTGAGAGTTTGAGAGTTTGAGAGTTTGAGAGTTTGAGAGTTTGAGAGTTTGAGAGTTTGAGAGTTTGAGAGTTTGAGAGTTTGAGAGTTTGAGAGTTTGAGAGTTTGAGAGTTTGAGAGTTTGAGAGTTTGAGAGTTTGAGAGTTTGAGAGTTTGAGAGTTTGAGAGTTTGAGAGTTTGAGAGTTTGAGAGTTTGAGAGTTTGAGAGTTTGAGAGTTTGAGAGTTTGAGAGTTTGAGAGTTTGAGAGTTTGAGAGTTTGAGAGTTTGAGAGTTTGAGAGTTTGAGAGTTTGAGAGTTTGAGAGTTTGAGAGTTTGAGAGTTTGAGAGATTGAGAGTTTGAGAGCTTGAGAATTTGGAAATTTGAGAGTTTGGAAATTTGGGAGAATGGAAATTTGAGAGAATGGAAATTTGAGAGTTTGGAAATTTCAGAGAATGGAAATTTGAGAGTTTGGAAATTTGAGAATTTGAGAATTTGAGAAGAATAATTGTGAATAATTCCCCAATTCCCAAATCTCCAAATTCCTCTTCCTCAAACTCCAAAATCCAAAACCCTAAAAATCTCAATATTTCTAATTTTACAATATTTCAAATTTCACCCCTATTAACGTACCCCTACTTTTATTGTTTCAGATATGCCTGCTAGGCCTCGTCGTCAGCGACAACAGCACTATAGGTGATTCGAACATCGAAGATGTTTCGGAGGTATCAGAAGCCAATAACAACCTCGACATTGACTCAGGAGATCAAGTAAGAGTTTTAAACGTCTATGTTCCAAACGAAGGTTCCGGGAGAATTAAAATTAAGTATGTAAATTGCTTGCTTCAAAATCATACACACTGCTATTCGAGTTAGTGCTTTGTGTTGCTCAAACAACTGTAGATAGACGAGATGCATCGTATTGGTGTTTTGATTGTCTTCCTAACTTCAGGTTGCCTAAGCAAAGCAATCGAAACACCGGCGAAACTTGAAATGTCATAATTACTAATTCAATTAGTTGCGAAAGCTTTCGGTGAATTATATCACCTTCCGTTATTGTTAGGCTTTTACATGTATACGTATAAACAAGTTACATACTTAATTAGGTAAAATACAAAATAGCTAGTAAATAACTAGTAAATAGCTAGTTAAATAGCATCAATGTTACTTAAATTATATTGAAGTCATTTAACATGTTGACTATTAGAAATAATTGACATGATCAGACTTCTTATGTACATATTTACAAATTTATCTAGTAAAGACTTAATAATTTCACATATTAATTTTTTTCATGTATGTTGAGTAATTTAATTGGAGGTCCTGAGTCAAACAACCATTTTACACAAATAAGTGATACATAATGAGAAATAATATGATGTAAGTCATGTGAGTTTCCATGTATCATGGATCGTAACCATGTATCACCCAAAACTAAGCAACGATTACACTATACAAGTTCGATTTGCTCGTGTTATATCGTCACAGGTTGAATTTCCATGCGATATATCGCCACACGTTTCAGTTCACCTCGCGTTGAATTGCCTCGTGTTACATCGCCACTCGTTTTTTATTTCTATGCGTTATATCACCACACCTTGTATTGCCACACGTTTCAGTTTTTACGCGTTGCATTGCCGCGCGTTATATCGCCATTCGGTTTAGACTTCTAAACGTTGTATTACCACGCGATACATCGCCATGCGTTGTATTGCCACTCGTTTTAGTTTTCCACGCGTTGTATCGCCACGCGTTATGTCGCCACTCCGTTTAGATTTCTACGCGTTATATTTCCATGTGCTATATTGCCACGCGTTATATTGCCACATGGTATATTACTGCGCGTTATATCATCACGTATCTTAGATTTCTATGCATTATATCGCCACACATTGCATCGTCACGCCATTCGAGTCATTGTATCGCCACTCGTTGTATTGCATGCGTTATATTGCCACGCGACATATTGTAAGTCACGTGAGTTTCCATGTATCACGGATCGTAACCATGTATCACCAAAAACTAAACAACGATTACACCATAAAGCAAAGGTCACAATACCACGTACCTTGCAGTATCGAAACCGTGACAAATCGAAGTAACGATCTGCTTCGAACGCAAACAAGTCGCGTACAATCGTATATTTCATCCGTTTTTCGCGTTCCATGCTTTCGTACCTGTGGATTTCAAAAAGAATAAGGGACATTGTCGGCGGAGCTGCGGGAAAAATAAACAGCTTTATTCATGTCAGCCAGCCGGAAATAGGTCGCAGAAACCGTAACATCCAGCATGAAACCACGGGCAAAAGCTCCCTCCTCTTTTCTCCGACATTTTATATATTTTTGTTGTTTTCCCCTGGCGAAACACACGGTGCACGCCGGTGTAAAGTCTTTTACGCCTGGCGAGGCCTCCTCGTTGCTCTTTCGTGCTCTGTTTAGCCGACGACGCGAAGCTTCGTCAACGGGGTCTTCCGGTTCGCCATCTTACCAGCAACTCGACTAATCTCAAGATGACGTTACGGACGCACTCTTCCGGCGCTTTTTTTCCGGAACGCTGTCGCGAAACGACACGGAAATGGACCGAGAGCTTCCCTTTTAATGGACGTTCACCTTTCCAGTCTCTTTCACCTCTTTGCTTCGACATAATTTCGCTTTAAATTGATTCTTTAAAAGAATTGCATTTTTTATTGGAATTCATTTGAATCATGGGACTCGGGTTAGTTTGTATAACTTATAGGTCCATTGGAACATATCATTTCGCGTTAAAATTAAATCATTTGCATTTTTTATTGGACCACATTTTGGGTTAAACTGTAACTTTATATTTTTATAATCTCTATAATTTATACAATTTTTTAAATTAACATTATATTTGAGGGTTCGCTATTAGATTGGGAATGAAGTAGAAAAAATAAGTGACAGATGACGTTAACTGAATTACTTTATCTTGATAATGGAAAGAAAATAATCTTTGATTGTTGAAATCATTTCCTTTTCATCCTTTCAATTATAACCGTCTCGCCCATCCGCTCGACAAATTCATGACAGGAAAGCATCTCAAAATACTACTTATGGCACACCAATTTCAAGCTTAGAGTATAATAAAAGCGACTACTTAAAAGTTTCGTTAATATTCCCAAAACAGATTGTCTGACTCTTCGTCAAAGCAGAGGTATAAACTACTGAAACTGCAAAAACATTCGCGTCTGTCCTAACGAGTTTGTACTGACAACACAGACAAAGTATTTATTTTACACACTCATTTTCATCGAGCCTTAATCTACAAATTGATATGCAGTAAGCATAATTTAACTTTTACTTCAATTCGTACTTAGCAAGTGTTCAACGTCCGCAACCCTTAATTGCACTAAAATTTGAGCGCACGGAAATCGTACGGAATGCGACAAACAATAGTCGGAGACCCAAGAGGAATTCGTGTACCCGTGTCACGATGCAAGATCGTCGCCATTTGTGAAACGATCCTGGTAAATCGCTGGAGGAAGAGACGACTGGTTTTACGCGCGATAGGAGGACTTCCGGTCGCGTCGGAGCGAAATAAAATGGCGCAAAAGGAAGGGTGAAGTTGAAGGTTGTAGCGGGTGCCAGGATCGTAAAACTGGTCGCAGGTTTTTTGAACGTTTCGCGCCGCCACGGTTTACGGATGCACGCCGCGAAACTCGACAGGCGTGACGACACTTCCGGTCGCGGCGATGAGGAGGAGGGGATTTAATCGCGTCAACGCGGGGAAACAACGTTGTAAAGTTTGCGCCACGAGAGACACGGAGCGTTACGATTTTTCCAGCGTGCTGGTTGAATTAGGATGGATGAACTCGCCAGAGAGAAATTTCTCATTTTTACCAGCTTAATTTTCGTTTCATTTTCGTTCGCTTTTTCCTCTTTTCATTTTATTCCATTTTTTCCTTTTCAACGCCACGGTGGTCGCTTGTGAAACTGTTCCTGTTAGAATATTCAATTTATATCAATTGTTTTTATAGCGAATGTAAATGTACATTTGTGTGACCTACAAATTTTTGATTGCAAGCTTTCCATACGTAATTATGTCACACACAAAGTTTTGATAGGATATTTCGTTCAAACTATAACGAATAATTTTCTAAGTTTTTATAAAATTATTGTAGACAATTTGCAAATTACAATAACACGTATTTTCGTTCAGTTTTTTAATTTACCACATGTTTCCATCTGTCGAACTTTTCAAAGTTTTAATTAACAAGTATGGGTATATTCACGTGGATATCTGAATGAAAAAATTTCAAGCATCCATAGAATTTTGTTACAGATCAGCTTCAATTTTAACGGTATTCAGAATTTCGTTCTACAGTTCCCAGCTGTGTAACCAAATTGAATTCGCAAGGTAGATCATCAGTCCCTATGATAATCAACGTGCTAACGTACGATTTCGTGCCGACAGTTCGACAGAATCCCTTTCAGAAGGTTTCTTTCGTATTCAGTGCAAAGGGAGGGAAGTTTTAATTCATTTTTCCGACGGATCGAAAATTAGTTAAGCGGCGAGCGAGTTAAAAGGGCGGAACTTTGAAAGGGATGAAAATTGTCGGACTGACCTACATACAAGCGACCAGTGTTCTTCCTCTTTTTTTTCCTCCGTGAATAAGTTCATTGTTTCGTGTGAACTCATTTAATTAATGGACGATTCCCGGGATTACGATTAATAACGCAAAAATAACTCGGCACACCGAATTTATCATCGGCTGCCCTTGATTTTAACAAATGCTGTTTGAATTTGTCGCGCCACAATGGAACTCCACAAAGTTTAAAACGTGCATTTATACGATAAAAGTACATTTTATAAACGCGACAATCCACGAGTTAACAATTGCTTTTTTTAATACAAATACTTCTGATCGATTCGTATTATTCTACGTAATAAAATTTGAAATTATTTTAAATTCGAGAGTGAAATACGTCATAGAAATTTCAAATATCTCACGAAATATTTGCTGTTCATAATCGAGGCACGTAACAAAATTTGCAAAAAATACTGCACTTAAATGTACAAATTGCATTTTTTAAATTTATATAAATTTTTAATTACATCGGATGTAAATTTTTACGCTACAAATATGTAGAACGCTCTTCAGAAAGTTTCTGTAGAAAATTTAGGCGATGATTGCCATCGTCATGATTAAAAATCAACAAAAGGGCCGCACGAAATTGCCAGCGAATTCCAGGTTTAAAGTAGCAGTGTAGCTGATAGTAAAGTAAAGGAAAAGTATCGATTTAAAGGTTTCGAGCAGTAGAGCGATATTCAAACCGCGTTTCGGGTCCAACAAGAAATATGAAGAAGCGTTACACGTGTATCGACTGCGGTGCATCGCGTTCCGTTTCGTCTCGTCTTACCACGATGGAAACTAGGCCAGCGTTGCAGCCTCTGTGTGCTCGAAGCTCTCAAGAAAAGTGGAAATTCCTCGGCGAACACGAGAAGAACCTGTCAACGCGACAAAAAAAAGACTTGGCTAACACGGAATGTCTTTAGGATCGCGATAAAAACAATTCCCTCGTAAATTTTTATTCGATTTATTCGCTTACGTGGCTTCTTCGAAGGCATTCTTGAAATTCATCAGTACTTTCAATTATTGAGAACTACTTTAACTATATGTGCTTCGTTATATTGCCTTGTTGCAGTTTTGTACAATTTTTGCACAAGATTTTTTAAGGATGGCCTTAAATTAAATTAATGTCATATGTTTTTGTAGTTTCAGTAATTTATACCTTTGCTTTGACGAAGAGTCA